CCAGGGTCCTCCTGAGCCCTTGGAGAGACCCAGGCTTGTAGTCCTGTCTCTGTATTCAGTGTCCAGTCATAGCCAAGAGAATGGGCACTGGAGTCAGACTGCCGGGATTCAGATCCCAGCCCTGCTATTCCATAGCTGTGTCACTTTGAGCAAGTGCTCTAACCTCTCTGGACCTCAGTTTCTTCATCTCTAAAATGGGCCAGTAATAGGACCTATCTCATTGGGCTGTTGGAGTTTGCTCTTCCTGTCATTGTGGTGGGGTTGTGCCCTGGCGCTGGGGTGTCAGGTGTGGGTGGGAGGAAGCCCCTTCCCTCCAGTCAAACCGCCCTGTGGTCATACCATATGCCTGAGGGCTAGGAAAGCCCCTGAATTCTAGCCCAGCCGCCATGGCCGCCAAACAGGCAGGTTCTGCATTGGCTATGACAGAATATGCATGGACTAGGATTTCATATCACCCTGTCTTTTAACCTTTGCCTCTGTCTTGCTGAGCCTCCAGGCCCTCCGCGCCCTCGGCCCACACTCTCCTGAGTGGTCTTACGGGCCATCCCCTGTTGCCAGGGCTCCCTAGCCCTTGATCTGGCTGGTGGGGTTGGGGGATTCTTTTGTGAATGGGTTTTCCACTTGCCCAAGCCTTGGGCCAGGCAATTTCTAGGCACATATTAACAAGAGGAAATGTTGAGGGAACGAGCTGAGTTCCCTCATGCCAGATCGCAGCTGGCCTCATTTCTGGCGGGCCTGGTGGTGATCTTGCTGTAGTCCATCTCTCTCCAGCCAGCAAAACCTCAGGCCCACGCATGCGGCCTCCTCGGCATTGGGTTTGGAAGGAGAATGCGAGAGAGTCTTCAAATGGGAGCCGAGAAAGAGACAGTGGAGGTCGGATCCCATCAGAGCTGCAGGACCCTTAGTGATGAACTGGCCCAACCCCTTTGTCAGACAGATAAGCATAGTTTAGAGAGGCCAGGAACTTCCCGAGGTCATACAATAAGGTGGTGACAGAATCAAGACTCGAACCCAGGACTCTTGCTTGCTAGTAAGGATGCTAGTAAGAATCACTTCTCTCTGTGCTCACATCTTCAACCTCCAAAGGAGGACTTAGTCTATAGCTCTCCTCTCCTCCTCACACCACCTGTTAGAAAGAGAAATGCCTTATGGTTTTCTGAGGGGTCCAGATATAAGATGTTACAAACTTGGCTGGAACTATGAGCTCTAGGGGGTTTCTTCTGGACTGTCCTGGCTTGTTGGGGGCCCGGCACAGGGACACTCATGGCTGGGGTCCGAGCCATGTCTCTCAGCCACAGGTCTCTCCCCGGGGCTGGGAAGATGCTACAGTGAATCCTCTAGTCGGACACTGAATGCACCATCAGCGGCTGGAATGCCTGACCCGGCCAGCCGCCGCTCACAGCTCCTCTTGTGGTCTCTGGCCAGGCCTGCCCAGGCGGGTCTTGTGTAGTGAGTCAGGCAGGCAGACCCTAGACCTGAGAGTTGGAAAGGGCCAGCCCTGGCTTCCACTCCCTTGGTGTGTGAGGCTCGGGGACCAGTGGGATTTGCCTAAGGCCACACACCATCCATCCGGGGCGGGCAGGGCTCTAACACGGTGCATTTTGGTTTCAAGCTCAGGGCTCTTTCCAGTTCTCCGACTGTGGGGAGAAGGGAGCAAAGTGAGAGGGATCTCGTGTTTCCACGTGGGGAAACTGAGGCCAAAGCAGATGAGAGTTTTTAGCTGTGGTCACGTTGCGGGCTGGGGATGTGGTCCCCAGTGTCCCCAACTTGACCTAGAGCTGTCCCAGAGCTACCGGTGGCTCTGGAATCCTGGGAACCCTATCTGCCCACCTCCTTCTTATTCCCTGGGGTCACTTTTGGGGGGCTTCCCTAGTGGACTTCAAAAGGGCCGGGAGAAAGCATGCTCAGCATCGTGAGAAAGAGAGCTGGGGACCTCCGGTCTCTCCATGTGGGCGCACATCTGGAAAAGAACACGGTGCTTTGAGATACAGGTTAGACTTACGCGGGAACTTGCCGACTTCAGAGAATCGCAGCCTTGTAAAGAGGTCTCCAAGATCCTTCTGCAGGCTCTTCCTAGAGATCATTACATATTCCCACCGTTGATGCAAACCCTAACCAGCATGTGGTGATGGCACATTAGAGTTTTCCAGGGGCTGGATTACAAACATCTGGCCTCTTCTTCAGCCCAGCTCTGCCAGGTGAGTTGGGCAGGGCTGACCATTTTTCAGGCCAGGGAGCTGAGCCTTCGAGACCTTGGCAGGACTGCAGATCTTCAAGCTGCACGCTCCCCCTGCCCTTACAGCCCACCTTCTGGAACAGACCATTTGGGCGGACACTGGGGAAGTAGGGCCTCCTCAGCCCTCAACATCTTGCCATGCATGTGTCCACGAGGACTGTCCCTGTTTTCACGTCTTATCGTCTCGTCCCAGAGCCAGCTTCTGTCTTCTCCTGGGCCTTGTTCTGCTCAAAGTACGAGGCGTTCAGTTCCCCAGGGAGGCCTGACCTGGGGAAGTGGAGAAACCACGTGGCTAAGGCCCCGGCAGGGTGCCAAGCTCATTGCTTGGGCCTCAGGCCAGCCTGCTGCAGCCAGGAGCTCCGGCCTGCGGAGGAAGGTCCCGCTGCTGGCCAGGCTGGGAGTGCACGCCATGCACGAGCGGATGCAGCCAGACAGGGAAGCAGGCCATCGGGGGCCGTAGGGCGAGTGTCAGAAATGGGCTGTGTCGCTCAGTGGTGGAGGGATGAGGCAAGTTAGCGGGGTGCTGGGGCCTTGGGCGTGTGCTGGGCTTTAGTCTCCCCACTGCGGCAATGAAATGCTGAATGTCAGGAGTCAGGGTCTTTTTGTCTCAGGCCATCGTGATTGTTCCAATCAAGGATTTGTTCCGGCACCATTTTTGTTGTTAATCCTCACCGGGGGATATTTTTTCCTGTTTTGACTTTTTTTAGAGAGTGGAAGGGAGGAGAGGAGGGAAAGAGAGAGAGAAATGTTGATGTGAGAGAGACACATCAATCGGTTGCCTCCTGCATGCGTCCCAACCTCGGCCGGGGATCGAACCTGCAACGTATGTGCCCTTGACTGGGAATCGAACCCATGACTCTTCGGTGTGAGGGTGGATGCTCTAATGTCCAGGGATGTTCCAGCACTTTTAAAGCTTGCTCCAATCTTTCCCCCCGCCCCCAACCATTGTGCTCTTAATTACAAACCCTAGGTTCCTAAGGTCATCTGCTGGACTCCTCTGAAGGGAGGGAGACTGAAGATGGAGACAGGGCTGGGTATTGCAGCCACCAAGCATGTACCAGCAGAACCAGTCCTCAGCATCAGTCATGCCACTCCCACGTGTGCATCAGCCAGGGTCCTCCTGAGCCCTTGGAGAGACCCAGGCTTGTAGTCCTGTCTCTGTATTCAGTGTCCAGTCATAGCCAAGAGAATGGGCACTGGAGTCAGACTGCCGGGATTCAGATCCCAGCCCTGCTATTCCATAGCTGTGTCACTTTGAACAAGTGCTCTAACCTCTCTGGACCTCAGTTTCCTCATCTCTAAAATGGGCCAGTAATAGGACCTATCTCATTGGGCTGTTGGAGTTTGCTCTTCCTGTCATTGTGGTCACCTCACTGTCACCTCCCACTGGCTATACTCCGGCTGCATTTCGTCTGCCTCTCTTTGGGATGCAACCATTCTGATGGTCTCTGCCTTGCTCATGCCTCAGAGACGTGCCCTCACCTGGCCGCTGCCTCCGTTTGGCAGCAAGGGCTCTCCCTCGGTGCGACATCTCAGCTCATCCCTTGGGACTCCTCATTGCACAGCAGAGTGCTGCGGCTCAGGAGGCCCGTGGGCAGTGGAGCCAGGACTGGCATCGGGCTGCTCTGGCTGCAAAGCCTCACCAGGTCAGCCGGCCTGGCGGAGGGGGCTGAGAGGAGTCCTTGAGCCAGCCTGGAGTGGCCTCTGAGTGCAGACGCATGGGTTTGAGACCTTCCTGGGGCCTGCTGGCTGCAAATACATTGGACATGGCCGCCAGGATCAGTGCCTGGGAATGCTGTCAGGCTCTCCATCCGGCTCCGGGCTCCTTCCTCGAGGCTTCGTCCACGAATTGGGCCAAGCGGAAGGGTTCTTAGCGATCACACACTCCAGCCTGAGCACGGTCAGAAAAACATGACGTTTCCCTGAAAAAGCTATGATTTGAATTCAAGGAGAGGGGAGAACAGGTTTCTGTAAGTTCCAAGCTTGAGGGCTTTCTTTTCCTTTTGAAGTAGAATGGAGTTACCCCCTGCCACGCCAGGACCATCCCCACAGCTGATGTTTTCCCAGCTGCCAGTCTCCCCAGAGAGCGTGGAGTAGGGTCGGGGAGGGGGCGAGAGGCCAGACCTGCCTGGGGCGGGCAAAATGACCTCTCTCTCAGCTGCCGAAACTCACCTGTGACAATGGTGTGGCTGTTCACCGCAGTATAACCTTGACACTTACCCGTTCAGAGTCTCTCTCTATCTGTAAAATAGGGATCATGATTCCACAGGGTGGCTTTTGAAGAGCATGTCACCATCATACTAGGTCTGAGCTGGAAAATGCCCCACAGGCTTCCCCTTTGACCAGAGGGGAAACTGAGGCCTACAGGGGAAAAGGGATGCTTTTATAACTCGGCAAGTCAGCAGCCGGTCTCCAGGCCTAGACCCAGATTCCTGACCCCCCACTCCATCGGGACCAGGTCTCAGATTGGGGGTGGCATTTCCACTCTGGGGAGCCAGCCACCGGTTTCTTTTCAGAGACTCTGGGGACATAAGAAGAGGCTCAATGTCCCTGAGCCCCACCTGAGAAATTCTCCAGGTGGAGTGTTTGTTGAGGGCATGGGGTGATCCAGGACCCCACTGGTTGCCCAGATTCCAGAACCAAGGAGTGAGACTGCATGGACATGTCCTGTGTCTCCCTCCCCGCCCCCGCCCCCGTCTGGATCGCAGCCACTCGGAAGTATAAACACTAATTTATAGTTGTTTGTTCTCTCTTGTGCCCTCAGGGGTTTCCTGGAGACTTTGGGGAAAGAGGCCCACCCGGACTGGATGGAAACCCCGTAAGTATCTGAAGTCTTTGGGACCAGGAGAGAGATTCCGAGGGAACTCACGCAGGTTTTAGGAACCCAACTTTGGGGTTGAATGACTGTCAAACCCTAGCCCTGCTACCTACTAGCTGGTGCCTCTTCTGAACCCCAGGCTCCTGTCTACTGTGGATGCCCTGTGACCCCACCCCCTAGAGAGCCCCCAGCCCTGAGCCTCTGGTCCCAAAGCCCCAGGCTGCGCTCCATCCTCAAGGACTTAGCAAGGCTCGCGAGTCACTCCCCACGGGGGAAGCCAGGGCTATGCCACCTTACAAAGCACCGGAAATGCTGATGGGACAGCAGCAGCCCGGGAGCAGATAGTTTGCAGGCCCTGTGTGAGAAGAGAGCGAGTTGGAAGGAAATCGCCAGCACAGGCATGTTTATAGGGTTTGTAAATAGTCAGAGAAGCCAGGTCAGCTTGCCCTGCGGAGCTGAGCCCTGCCTGCCCCGTCCTGTCCCAGCCTCAGGCTCGGCGGGAGAGGAGGCCTTGGGGGTGCAGGCCATGTTCAGAGCTCCTTGGAGCACCTGCCCTGCCCACCACCTCTCCATGGGGCTTCCCTCCGGAGCAGCTGTGCCCTCTGTACTTTCTGCAGAGGTGGCTGCTGGATCCGTCCTTAACCCCATGATTCTGTTCTCATTTCTGTTCCACAAATGCTCCCTGGGGCCGACCCTTGGGCTCCCTTGGGAGCTGAAGCCCTGGCCTCGGAGCCAGGTGGGCCTGGGTTTGAATCCTGCCACACCACTCGCCAGTGTGGCACTTGGACAAACCCGTTCCCCTCTCTGGCTCTCAGTTTCCTTGTCTGTAAAACAGGGAGTGGGGTGGGGGGAGGGTGTCAAAATGCCGGCCTCAGAGGGCTGCTGTGAGAATGGAATGTGAGGGCAAGGGGTTCGGCCCATGACCAGTGCTCACCAGTGTTCCTAGTCGGGCGTGTAATGGAAGGGCACAGTTCCTGCCCTCAAGGAGCTCATGGCTGTCTCCCCAGTTACTGCACGAGGCGGAGAGTAGATTGGTGGGATCAGGAGGTCCCAGGTGCTGTGGAGGAGGGAGAGGAGGAGGGAAGACTCTTGGGAAAGGTGACATTAGAACTGGGTTGAAGAAAGAGGTGAGGAGACATTCCAGGTGGAGGAAGGAGTACCAGCAAAGGCACAGAGGTGAGGAGCCAGGGCCTGTCCTCGGACTATCGGTTATAACGTGTGGTGTCCTTCCAGGCCCCCTAGGGAGGGGCGGGGATGTCTTCATACTCATGGCCCCGAGGAGCAGGAACAGGACCGGATGTGTGGTCCCAGCTCTGCCACACAGTTGTTGCGTGGCCTTGGACAAGTCACGTCCCTCCCCTGAGCCTCGGTTCCCTCATTTGAAAGCCAAGGCTGTTTCTCGCCGCCTCCTCTTCTCCGTGGTGGCTGGAGTCATGACCTCCATCTGAGCAGCCCTGGGTTGCACAGATGATGTCAGGCAAACCCCGGATGCTGTGGGCAATTCTCACTGACAATCACCATTCCTAAAGCCCCCTATTTTTATTCGCATCTTTGCATTTTGAACTTGATCCAAATCTCTCTACCGTCTTCTCTGGGGCAAACCATTAAAGGTCGATTTATAGAGAAGAGGAAGGAGAAACTTGCTCACTGCCACACCCGGACACACCTGTCTCCTGGGCAAGAGCTCTCCCAGCGTCTCGGAGGCCTAGGGAGGCGGAAACCTGTGAGCCTGGGGGGGTCCAGGGCCCCGGCGCCTCCTGGCCGAGAGAGCGGGGAGCTAGCCTGGTGGCTCTCTGCTGGCAGCCCTCACCACTGTTCCTTTCTTGCACTTGACCTTGAGTAAATCACCTAACTCTCGAGCCTCAGTTTTGGCATCTATAGGGTGAGGGTGAAATGAGACCTGGGTCGAGCACCCTGCACATCCTATTACCGTGATCAGGATGGCGCAATCCTTCACACTTAACAATCTGAAGCTGCCAGACTTGGAAATCCAACCTCCCCATTTTACAGATGCGGAAAGCTGATGCCAGAGGGGGCCAAGGGTCTTGTCCAAACCTTAGACCAGGCTCTGGAGAATCACCGTCAGGGACGAGGAATGGTCAGCTCAGAGGACTCCCCTAGGCACCCACGTGCAGAATGGTGTGGAGGGGGTGGCCCAGGAGGGAGAAGGGCAACTAACCACCTTGGTCTCTCTCCATTTGCAGGGCGAGCTGGGCCTGCCAGGGCCCCCGGGAGTCCCCGGCCTCATTGTAAGTACACCGATGCCTGGGAAGGGGAGAGGCAGGAAGCAGGGTGTGGGGAACAAGCGATAAGACCTGCTGAAAAGGCCCCTCTCTCATCAAACCCAGGAAGAGCTGCTGTAGCAGGACAGACCAGTCTGGGCGGAGGCCTGAGGGAGGACAGTCCTGCTGTGTGGCCTCAGGTGCATTACCTGCCTTCTCTGAGCCCCTTACTTGCGGCCCGCCCGTCGCTCTGGAAGGTGGTGTAGACAGGTGATAGCATGGCCATTTGACAGACAAGGTGCTTCAGGTGCAGAGAAGGAAGTGACTGGCAGAGGAGCTGAGGCTCTGGGCCACATGGGCAGCCGTCTTCACCCTTTTCTTCAGAGCACTGACTTTGGAGCCAGACCACCTGAGTTCAAGTCACCGCTCTGCCACATCCTGGCTGTGTGCCCTGGGCCAAGTTACTTACCCTCTCTGAGCCTTAGTTCCTCATCTTTAAAATAGGGGTGGTAGTAGAATCTTCTTGGGGTGGTTGTGAGGATTAAATGAGGCATTGCATGGACAGTCCTTGGCATGGGGTCTACCACTCAGTTAATGTGCAATTAGTGGGAAATATTGTTATATGAATTACCGTTATTACCTCCTGATGTGCCTGGAACTGAGAGAGGCCTGTACACAGGGAGGTGGGAGGCAATCTGACCTCTTTCTCCGTCTAGATTGAGGTAGGCCTTCTGGAGTGAGTGGTTCTGTTAGCCAAAACCAGGGCCCCCTCTTTAAGCGTGAGCCTTGGCCTTGGGCCTGGCCCCAAGAGCCAATGAGAAACCTGAGTCTGGGAAAAGACTCTAGGGACTTCCCCAGGGTTTGATGCCCCTTCTGTTCTGTCCGAGGAGTCATTCCTTGTGGGGTTTGAGTTTGGGGGCCTTTGGGGGTCACTGTAGACTGTTCCTTAGTGCTTCGGCTACTCCAGCAATTTTGCTGAGAAATTCTGCTCAGAGGGAGGCTAGAGCCCTAGCCAGTTTTTCCCAGTGATTAGAACGACAGCCTGCAGACTAAAGAGTTTGATTTTGGTCAAGGGCATGTACCGCGGTTGCAGGTTTGGTCCCTGCCCCTGTTCAGGGAACGTGCAGGAGGCAACCAATAGATGTGTTTCTATTGATGTTTCTCTGTCTCTCCTCCTTCCTTCCATTCTCTCTAAAAAACAATGGAAAAAATGTCCTCGGTGAGGATTAGCAGATGGAACCTGGAGAAGGCCCTGGGGAGGGGAGGAAAGGGGAGGGGAAGGAAAGGGGGGCTGTGGAGCCTTATTGTTCTGGGGGAGCCCAGTCCTGTGAAGAGGGCCCAGGCCTGTGCGCCTGCTCAGGTGGGTGGGGTGGGGTGGAGGCTAAGTTCCACCTGTGTCCAAATCCTGGCCTCCCCTCCCCCTGGCTCTGTGGTCTTCTGTTATGTCTTTGCTTCCTTGAACCCCAGGGACCCCGTCTGTAAGATGGGATCATTGTGCCCACTCTTGTGAGGACCACAGATACACACATCCAGTCTAGTCCCATGGCTAAGAAGGAACCAGATCGCTTAGGTTCAAATCCTAGCTCTGCCTTTCATTTAATGGCAGTTCTGAGTATATTTTTTCACCTCCTTGAGTCTTAATGTCTTCATCTGTAAAATGGGGGTAATATTAGTCCCTAACTTGGAGGACTGTTTAAAGAATCTAGTACATATAAAATGCCTAGTATATAGTTATAATAGTTGGTGATGGTGATGATGATTGTACACCCATACATAGGTATTTTGTCCCTGGTAGCAGCTGTCTAGGCTGCTGCATTGAGAAAGATTTCAAAGTCACTTTGGAACTTAGTGAGAGAGGATGCTGAGATTGACTGGTGATGCCTGCCTGGCCTGGGATGAGGCCGTGTGGACACTTGAGTCATACATTTGTCACCCGCGCTGTCCTTTGCCGGGCACCTTGTTTGGCACGAGGCACTGACCTAGATGCGTTGGAAAAATAAATCTGTGCGCCGAGCGTTAGAGAACCTGATTCATGGGGACTTTCCGAGGGTCCGAGTCCAACCTCTATGCGAGGCAGAGGTCTCTGGAGCATCTTGGTCATACGGTCGTTAAACTCCAAGGTGAACACCCTGGTGTTAGACGCGCCCTCCTGTGGGAGCCCCACCGTTTCCACAGAGCTCTCATTGTACAGATGTTCCTGTGTGCTGAGCCAAGGCCTGGCCCTGCCCAGGAGAGGCTGCTGGGGATGTAAAGGCGGTCATTGTCTGTTCTTCCCCAGGCTCCTTCCTCAGGCTATATGATCCAGCCCCTAAAGCTTTCCTGAGGGGATGTTTATGTACCCTGGCTGTCATCCTTGGCATGGATTCCTGTTTGTCCTTGTCCTGGCGTCCACTAGATGGACTCCTCAGAGGGGCAAGAAGAGTGCTTGGCCGAGTATCCACAGATTCTGGAGATGGAGACGCTGCCATCACAGCCCTGGGCCCTCCCGACTCTTTACAGAGCTCATGCCCACCTGTGCTCCCCTTTCTCTCCCCAGTTAGTGTTGCCAGATTAAATACAAGACGCCCAGTGAAATCTGAATGTCAGCTGCAAAATTTAGAACACGTTTATGCTAAAATATCATTCACTGTTTACCTGACATTCCAATGTAACGGGGCAGTCTATGTTTTTATTTGTTCAGTCTGGCAACCCTATTCGCATGGTTTCTTAGGTGAATCCCATTTGACAGATGGGGAAACTGAGGCCCTTGGTCAAGGTCACATACAAGGCAGGAGAGGATGGAGGCATAATCGGAGGCCACGTCTCCCAACTCCTAATTCAGGGCACTCCTCTCCCTGCTCCCTTCCGAGGGGTCTTAGTTGGGGGTGAGCCCTGGGCATCCCAGCATTTCTGTGCCCCCTCATGATGTCCCTTTTCAAAGAGCTGATGAGTTTTTCCTTGTGCCTCTGCTGTTTTGTTTTGTTTTTAAAAAAATATATTTTTATTGATTTCAGAGATGAAGGGGGAGAGAGAGAGAGAGAGAGGGAGAGAGAGAGGGAGAGAGAGACCAACGATGATAGAGAATCATTGATTGGCTGCCTCCTGTATGCCCCCTAATGGGGATTGAGCCTGCAACCCAGGCATGTGCCCCTGACTGGAATTGAACCTGGGACCCTTCAGTCCCCAGGCCAACGTTCTATCCACTGAGCCAAACCAGCCAGGGCACCTCTGCTGTTTTTAAATGCCCTTTCTGCCGAGGTGACGGTCCCTTTCTCCTTGTGGATCACAGGGCTGGATCCGAGACCACTAAGTCACTGCTGCCGCTCCCCGCCTTACCCCCCACCCCCAGGCAGAGCCCCCTGCCACCCAAGGTACCCACTCCCACCCTGGATTTTTGGGAACACTGGCTTCTGTCCCTGGAGGAATAGTTGTCTTTCCCAAAGAGTGGGAAACAAAGGAATTTTCTAAGCAGGAGTTAGATGGGGAGGTGGACTGTGAGTCACCTTCGGTTTCCTAGAGGATGTGGGTTTTTAGCTGAGCACATGGGAATTCCACATACTGATATCATTTCAGCGGAGATTCAGATTTATTCAAGGCCTTCTGTCTAGTCAGCTGAAGCCATTTGCATGCAGACTGAAGCCTAAACTTGCCCTGTCCCCCGGGTCTTTGCAGCCGGGAGGAAGGGCAGGAGAGAACAGACAAACATTCACGGGACGCCTGTCAGCTGTGTGTGCTGGACATACCTTAGGCTGCGGGAGCCTTGAGCTACTTGAGGTGCTGCACAGCCTGGTCCCCCGGATGGGGAGGCTGGGGCCCGGGGTCACCACTAGGGACTTGCAGCCCAGGCCCGGGTGGCCCCCTGCGGCCTCTGAGGTGAGACTGCCTCGAAACAGCCTCCTTTGAGTAATTGAAACCCTTTGGCTGGACCTCAAGAAAAGTGTGCCTGGTTCCAGAATCTGCCCAACAAAGAAGATTTCTGTCTTTTGCATTCTGAGTGACACAGAAGGGATTTTGGCTCCTCATTTAATGAGACCCAAAGAATATGTGATCTGGCCCAAACCCAGAATGTGGGGGAGAGTAGACAAGTCCGCCATATCCTGTCACTAATACCATCATCGGGGTTTGTTTCCTTGTCTATAAAGTGAGGCCAGGAACCCCAATAACTGATATTTGCCAAACCCTGGGCCCAGTACTTAATTATCACAGCAAGTCTCTGAGGGTAGGGAATGGGGTTACCATTGTACAGGTAAGGAAACCGAGGCTCAGAGAGGCTGGAGCCCCCGCCCAAGGTCACACAGCTGAGAGGCGGGACCTGGGCCTGTGCGTACAGCTCATGCTCTTCACATGACACCCCACAGCAGCTCCGCAAGACTGCTGTGCTGAATGGGGACAGCGGAGGTGTGAGAGCACACTGGGAGTGCCCGGGGCTGTTCTGGGTGAGAGATGGTGCTTATTAAGATCACCCAGGAACCAAGACTGGGCACAGCCCCAGGTCCCTGTCCCCAAGCTGGGGGCCCTCGATCAGCGATCAGGAAAGAGGCCTTGTCGCCTTTAAGGCAGTTCCAGGGATCTTTTTTCCCTGGGGGTTTTGTAAATAAGAGTTTGAAGGTTTTTGGGGTTTTTGTTTTTCATCCATTCACTAGGCTGCTTTTAGTGGCTCCTTTGGGGCTGGGAGCTGGGGGGAAGTGGTGGTCACATAGGCACACACATCGATGGCCATCAGCGTGGAATTGGCTTGGAGTGAAAGCCGTGTCAGGTTCTGAGACCGGACAGCAGGGTGCTGACCTGCCTACGGAGTCTGTTCACCCAGAAGGACAAGCGGGTGTTAACAGAGTGAGAACACGGTATAGGAAACAGTGGCCGAGGGTGTCACAGCTAGAGAGACAGCAGGGCAGAAAGGTGAAGGCGTGTGAGGGAGGGAGGCCTGGCCAGCACCTCACCATGAAGGGCGGGCATCGGGAGCACCCTGGGTTGTGTCTTCAGGGGTCCCTGGCAAACCCCATGGCGTACTTCGGGGGAGCGGAACTCGTGCCTGTCTCTGCATCTGAAGCCTGTCCCCAGGCCCTGTCACTTACGGGTGATGGAGATGAGAAAGGCATCCTTGGTCCTGCATGGAGTGAACAGTCAATCGAGGGCTAGTGAGCATGGCCCGTGGGGCAGACAGACAGATGGGCCTGGGTTCTGGTCCTGCCTCTGCCCCCTACTCCTGGCTTAGTCTTGTGCAAGTTGCTTCACCTCCCTCGGAGCCTCGGTTTTCTCCTCTGTGAAGAGGAATGGACCTGAGAGGGGTGCTGACCTCCTGGGGTGACTGTGAGCTGCCCTCACCGGGGTTCCTGGCGCAGCGTACGCGCTTGCTAATGAGGATCTGATGAGACTGGAAGTGTCGAGCGTGGAGTCTGGCACACAGTAGGAGCTCTGTAAGTGGTTGCAGATGTGGTTGGCTGTGCTCTTGGTGGGAGCCAGCGAGATGAGGGCAAAGTGTGTAAAGCCATGTCTGGGAGCTTAGGCAAAGTGGAAACAGGATCCAAATTAAGGGCATTACTCATTGTTCTTTCCTGTGGGGACATGACATTGTGTGTTGATCGGCCAGGCTGCCCGTGAGGGTGTCTAGCGCACAGCAGACGGGTGTTCTTCAGGCTGTACTGGAGGGGAAGTGGCCTGGAGTCTTCTCTGTTCCTCCCCCAAAAGCGTTGATATCCCAGCGTGGGGGTCCCGTCGACACGAGGAAGACCTGCCCTCAGCGAGCACCACCTGCTCCCCACGTCCCCGGCAGCCCGAGTCCCATTCCCGTGATGCCTGGCCCCCGGGGGTGGATGCTCACGCTGGGCCCCGCCCCACCACACACAGACCCCCTTGGAGAGGCCTGCAGGGCGGTGAGTGCGGTGCTGCGGTGGCTCCCGTGGGCCCACACGGGCGTCACTCAGGCCTGTGTTGAACCTGGTCCCCTCACAACAGGCCACTTTGAGCCTGGAGCGGGGAAGAAGGAGCCTGTGTTCCTGGAGCTGCCGTTGGTCCCGTGCCCGCCCGGGGCCGCGTCGGAGCCAGCGTCCCAGCAGAGCCCGCTGTTTATTTGTGCAGCACGGGGAGCGTGGGGCGGGCCACCCCGCTCTCCCTTCATCCAGGAAAAGAGAGCGAGAGAAGCCAAACTGGCCTGCCCCAGTGCCTGTGGCCAGGGATCCGGGCTTCACTCCCCCTTCCCCAAAGGGTACTTCAGAATTGCCTAGCGGCCCTGGAGACGGACTGCCCGGTATAAATCCCGGCTCCGCCTGCTCTGGTTTGCTCAAGCCCTAACCTCTCAGGGCCTCAGTTTTCTCCTCTGTGTAGTGGGGACTGTAGCAGAAGGGATCTCTAAGGGCCGGAGTGAGGAATAATTGAGTTGGGACAGGTAAGGTGTTTAGTGCAGGGCCTAGCCACCGGGGCCGCTTGTGTTTCTATTACACCTGTGACATGACACCTCGCTCCCTCAACGACAAGATGTCTAGATGGGAACTGAAAGCAGGTTTTCTTCGCAAAGGCTCCACTAGAAGGTCTGGTTTGACCCAATCAGGTGAGGCTCTTGAGGTCCAGAGAGGGAAGGTGTTTTGCCCAAGAACACACAGCAGGACCACAGCCAGACTCCATCTGCCTCCGCTAATCTAAGTCATTCGGGGGAGGGGTCTGGGGTGGCGAGTGAGAATCAGCATGACCTCAGCCAGGCCGTGCCCAGGCTGTGGCTCTGCACCTCCTCCCTCTCCCCTTGGGGTACTCCACCACACACCCCTGGGCCCCGCTGCAGGAGCCAGGCAGGAATGTGATTTTTCATTCTCTGCCCGGCCTCCCTCCGAGACGGCCTCCCTCCGAGACGTCTCCAGGCAGCTCTGACAGGAACCTCTTGGCACTCCCTCCAAGACGGCCTCCCTCCGAGACGGCCTCCCTCCAAGACGTCTCCAGGCAGCTCTGACAGGAACCTCTTGGCAGCCTGGCTACCTGGGGCAGCCTTTGTTCCTCCAGTGCTTCCAGGGGCCTCCATGGAGCCTGCCCCAGGGATGTGGGACACTGAGGCCCAGAGAGGTCAGACACATCGATGGGCTCACGCAGCAGCCAGACATTTAGATCTGTCACAGGCGATAGAAAAGGAGGAGAAGAGGGTATTTCTGGGGGCTCCCTTCCTCTGTCGTGGGCTTAATATTATGGCTATGGTTGGTTGACAGTAGTGACAAGAGTAGGTGGGAAGTGAGGAGATTTGAGAGAAAGATGGGCCTGTTTAGAGAAAATACAGTCACTCCATGAACCATGGTTTCTTGCCAGACAATTCTTGTTGTGGGGCTGGCCTGTAGAATATTTAACACACACACACACACACACACACACACACACACACCGCCTCTACCCACTGGATGCCAGTAGCACCCCTTTGGTTGTGACAACCAAAAATGCCAGCAGACATGTAAGTCCATAACTCCTCAAACAACGCCTGGAGGTACATATCCCCATTTGTTGCAGGAGGAAACGGAGGCACAGAATGGTTAGCCTCCCCGCCCTCCCCCCCACCCCCAAATCAGTATGTGGGCAGCAGAGGAGAGATGAGACCAGGTGGTCTCCAGTGTACACTGAGGCGCTGCCTCCCAGCTCTCTAGGGTCTAGGGACTTGGCTGTTCCCACTGGGGACAGTCTCATCCGATCTGAAGTGGGGTCTCCAGCCTGGGGCCCAGGATCTCCGGGTTCTCCTGGATCTTGTCTTCAACTCCGGGGTGCCTGAGATCGGCAGCCCCACTCCTTCCTGGCTGCCCTCCCAAGGAGATGGCCCGGCGAGATTCTGGGAAACAGGACGCGCCTCCCCCTCGCTACGCGAGAGGAACCGAAGCCCCTGTTTGCTTACTTGACCCTTCAGGCAGCTGGCTCAAGGAGAAGGATCCCTGTCCCTATTTCACAAATATTTATGTAGATGGAGGTCCAAAGAAATCACATGAAATGCCCAGAGTCCCTGAGCTAGTAAGGGATGCAAAGAATCTAATATGGGAGAGAAAGGTCTGATATCTAAAGCGAAATGGCAAGAAGTGGTGGGGGAGGGGCAGCAATCAAGAAATGAGTTGGGAAAGGGCCTGTGTAAAATGTATTCCAGCAATGACTTCAGCGACGCAAACAGACCGAAGAGCGTTCTTCACTCTGAGAGCAGCCCAGCGGGGCCGCATCCTCGGAAACCCAGCCCCGGGGACCTTGGGCACCCAGGCCAGCCTCCTGCGGGCCACCTCTCACAGCGTTCTCTTCTCTTTCTCTTCCCAGGGTGACGTGGGAACGTTGGGTCCGATTGGCTACCCAGGACCTAAAGGCATGAAGGTAAACAGGGCCATTCCCTATCCCAGGCCTCGTCCCATCCAGGCACCCCCTGACCCATTTCAGCCTGAAAGGAAGGGTGCCCTGACATGAAGCTGGGGGGGAAGTGAGCAGAGAGCCGGTTATCTGTAGGCCCTCAATGCCAGGCATCTTTATTGGACAGCAGTCCTGGAGCTGAGCATGCGTCTGATCTGGTTCCAGACCTCAGGACACTGAAAGTCCAGTGGGGACATCACTGGGGACACAGGAGCTTAATGGCAAACCACTGAGCTTCATACATCCTGAGGGGGGCGAGCGTCCAGGAGGAAGATGGGCCGACACTGGTGGGACATGTTAGGGGCGACCCTGTTGCCAGTGTGTGTGACACGGCTCATGGAGCCATCCCTCCCCGTCAGCACCCCTGCCCCCTGGACCTCTCCAGTGCGGTGGTTCCTGAGTCCTCCGCCCCTTCCCCTGCTCCCTCAGTCCACACCATTGCCGTAGGAGCTGGGGCCTTTTACAGATGAGAAAACCGAGCAAGCGGCTACAGCAGGTGCCTGGTCTAAGCCAGGGCTCCTGACGCCAGCGGCTTTGAGCCGCCCTCAAGCCCGACCCCCGCCTTTGTCTTGCAGGGGCTGATGGGAAACGTGGGGGAGCCCGGACTGAAAGGTGATAAGGTGATCTGAATACTCCCTTATTGCACTGTGTTTTATCTGCATGCGACCCCCTCCGCCTTGGCTGCTGCTGACCTCGCCAGGTCCACTCCCCTGCACTCCTCCTGCCTCCCCTCTGCCCCCCCTCTAAATCTGTGCTCCCAGCTTCTCCCTTGTCACTCTGGGTGGGGCTCAGACAGGTGGTTCTGGGGCCATGCAGACCTTGGCAGATAGAGCATGGAAGACTGTTGAGGCGCGGGCAGAGAGTAAAGCAAGGCATGTGTCTGAATTCAGAGTGCAAAGCTGAGGCCAGCGTCCGGCTTTGAGGCCAAAGCCATTGAACGAAGAGGGTGGGGGTGGGGGTGGGGGATAGAGAGGAGGAGTGATGCTGAGATGATGGGTCCCAGCGCAGGTATGACGTGGGGTCCAGACCTCTCCAGGCACAGGAAGAAACAAATTGACATAAACTGTCCGATTGGAACTGGGAACCCATCCCAGAGACCACATGGTCTGAAAGCACAACAGATAAACCTGGATGGGCCCCTGAGCCCCTGTCCGCTTTTTCCCAGTTACTACGGGGGCGCCACCCTTGCCACTTGTCCTTTGCACAGCCCTGCTGCCGACCTCTCACCGTCTCCCCTGTGTCCGAGCAGAGCTGGAAGTGGGTGGATGGGTCCCCAGGGCCCAGGTGGACAGTACCTGGCCTGGGTCCTGCAGGGCCTGAGTGACAAGGCCATGGGGGCTGTTCTGCTCTGCCCCTGGCCATCTGCCTCCCTCCTCCCCCTACCAGTCCCTTGACCAACCGGGCACTCCAATGGGAGTGCGGGAAGGCTTTCGGCAGCATCCGTGGTCCCAGGAGCCCGAATGGCGGAGAGAGGCCAGGCTCCTCTGTACCTGTCTGCGGATGGCTGCTCCTCCTACACCTGGGAAACAGGAGCAGGGACCAGTGCTGGGCCCCATCTGGGCGCTCTGTGGGCATTAACCCATCCATCCTCCAACCCCCCCCCCACCTACCTCCCACCCTGTGAGATAGGAAGCTTGCCTGAGGCCACGCAGCTGGTAGGTAGTGTCAGGATTCAAACCCAGACACCTGAACCAGGAGCACGACTGAGGTCAGAAGGGCACAGCGGACGTGGTCCTCAGAGGCTGCCTCCTCCAGCGCCTGCATTGCACAGCAGGGCGAGCAGAGCCAAAGAGATTTGTCAAGGGCACTCGGTGGTCTGTTGGGCCCCTGGACGCATAGGAAATTGGAACTGCCGAGCTGTAATGGGCATCCCCAGATTGTCTTAGCAGCGTCCCTCCCAGCCCCCACTTAGAGGTCACCAGGCGTGTGATGCTAACCCCAGTCCTTTCTCCATCTGTTTCCTCCTCCTCTGTCCCCCACTGTCATACCCAAGCCTCCAGCTGCACCCTCCAGCTGCACCCCCCAGCTCCACCCTCTGACACTGCCCTGCTGCCTGCTGACCACCCCCCCCACCCCCACGGCCCTCCCCCTCGAGATGGGGGAGCTTTCTGTTGGAGGCGGGCCCTCCCACAGCTACCTGTTTACCCTGAGGTTGGAGACATCAGCTGCCTGGGGGAAATGGGAATGTGGGCAGTCAGCTTTTTACAGGCAGCGCTGGCCTCCGCTCACTGTTTCTTCAGGAACATGGAAATAAATGTGTTACATACAACTCGGCTGGCCTGCGGACTGCTGGTGCCCGAGACATTTGGAGATGTGAACGCTCTGGGGGGACGAAGAGGAGGAAGAAATTATTTTTCTGCCTATCGTGTTCAGGACAATTAAATAAATCTTTAGGGTTAAAAAAAAAATGGAGAAGAAGAAAAGACAAAGAAGTCTCTTTTCTGCCCCGTTGGCTGGGGAGGGGCTTTAATGCTGGGAGAAGCGGGTGGTGATCAGCCCCTCTCCCCCCCACCCGCCACCCTGGCCCTTCCCGGGGGTGGTGGAGCCATCGCCTCATGTTCCGTGGCCGTCCTGCTGGAATATTAGATTTTCCATGACCCAGCCTGGCCTCCGTCCCACTTACAACCACTTGGCTCCGTCCGCCTGCGTGGAGGCTCTTTCTGGATCCAAGACTCCCGCTCCAGGTCCAGCTTTCTCCACATCCATCGCCCTGATTTCTTAGGTGCCTTTGAAAATATGTAGTGACTCCCTCGCTCCTCCTTTGGATGTTAAAGAAAAAAAAAAATGTTCCTTGGTTCCTATGACTCTGGGAGGCCGTACAGGGTTTTCCAAGTTGGAAAAACTAAAGCTAAGTTTCAAAAAAAAATTTTTTTTCTTTTAAATTCTGGCTTTTGTTCTACCAAGGAAGTTCTGCTGGAGGTCACAGCCCTAGCTGCATGGCATTGTTCTCTGAGATGCTCCATTCTTCCAGGCTGGGCATGTTTTCTGAGCCTGGGGCCAGCGCACCGTTGGGAATGTCCACCTCCACGGAGAGCTAGAAAGGGCGAGGGCCGTGCGAGGTGGTGCCGGCTCTAAGGAGGCATCTCCTGACTGGGTTCCTGGGTAGCTCGTTGGCCAGGACGTGGCTGAACACGGGGAGCGCGCAGAAGAGACGCCCACAGCCAGAACCGGTGTCACCTCGCCCATGCCACGTGCTGTCTTAGAAAAGAAACACACAGGCCTCACTCGAGACCGGCCGACTCTGTTTACAATGGTCTTCACCAGCCGGGCGCTCTGGTTTCTCAGCCTGGTGGGCTGGTTTGAAGCAGCTAATTAGAAGTAGACGGAAGCTGGTTCCTGGCATAGAAACTTCCACAGAAGGAAGAAGTGACAGCTCCCAGCCTGGCGGTGGGGAATCTGGAGAAACAGATGCCAGCACTCAAACCACGGAGTGGGCACCATTGTACCGGCTGCGCTCGCCGCGGTGCGATGTCGGTTGATGAAGAGGCTCAAGGGTCAAGAAACAGTTCCTTGCCCCTGCAGGTGTCAGTTCTGCGGGGAAGGCCGGGTGGCATTGGGCAGTTCAGCTTCCGTTGATAGAGTTTTCGGCCATCCGAGCAACCCCAGGCAGGTCTGCAAATAGGCCGGCTGGGTCCCCCCAGGGCCTGCCTTCCCTGCCCGGGGCCTGCCTTCTCCTCTAACAAGGCTGCTGCTGGCCAGATGGACTTTGGGAACAGTCTCGGCGAAGCTGTACCCTTGCCAGGGGGCTGCAGGTGGGGGAGGCTTCCAGAACCCACTGTGGTCTCCATCGTAACCTTCTTTGCTGGTGTGTATTTAGGGCGAACAAGGGGTTCCAGGTGTGTCAGGAGATGCCGGATTCCAAGGAGACAAGGTAATTGCAGCAGATTCTCCATGCCCCCTCACACACACCCCATCCTGCTCCTCTCTTCCTGCTTCCTGTCCCAGGTCGCCTCCCCCCCTCTCCACGCACCCCGCCCCCCCATCCTGCTCCTCTCTTCCTGCTTCCTGTCCCAGGGCCCATCACAGCCTAGGACCTACCTCGAGATCATTTCCTTCCAAACAGCCCTATTCCCTGTCCTCGTCCACCCTCAGCATCTCTTCCCTGGACTTTACGGGCCTCCTGAATTATTCCCGCCCCTGCCTCTCCCCTCCCTGTCTGCCTCACTGTGCTCACAAACTCTCCATGGCTCCCTATTGCTCCCAGAGTGAAGGCCTGGCACCCAGGACCCCAGTGAGTGGGCCCCCTGACACTTTCATATCCCTCATCCTTACAGCCCTGTGCTCGGCCCCACTGAACTCCCCACTGCCTCTCTAGGCTTTGCACACACTGCTGCCTCGCTTGGCACACCCTCTGCCCGCCCTCTGCTCGCCCAACCCTGCCCCCTCCCCCAGGACCTGCTCCGATGCCATTCTCTCCATCTGCTGGGGTTGTGGCCGTTTCATTTTCTCAGTGGCCTGAGCAGCCTGTCTGCCCCTAATCTGCCGCAGCGCCCTTCTCCCCTGGTTGATGGGACATGTGCTCGGCCTCCGGGCAGGCAGTATGTCCCCAGGCTGCCCCTGCACAGCTGGGCCCAGGCTCCTGCCCAGAAGAGTGGACAGTGAGGGCATGCTTGAGTGAGTGAGTGAGTGAGTGAGTGAGTGAGTAACTGGCCTTCTAACTGATGAACTGAGGCGGCCTGCCCAGGCCGGCTCCTCTTTGCCTGTGTCCCGTACCATGTGGCCGCATCTGGACCTCACCCTGTCACTCAATGAGGCCCAGATGTTGGCCAGCTCTCCCTCTTCCCCTTCCCTCTCTCCTGGCTGGCCTATTCTGACCCTGCCTGGATGTCTCTGGGTTGCCAGACACGCAGGCCTGGCTGCTTCTCCTGCTGGGCTCCGGTCCTCAGACTTCCCTGGACGTAAAGGACACTGCAGGGCCTGCTGGAGCCCCAGGGTCCCAGGTCCAGGACGCCTGGTGAGGACAGGCTGCTGTCCCACCTTTGCCTGCCTGGGGCCCCACGCTCAGGGTGCAGAGCTAGTCCATTTCCCTGCAAGTAGGGAACGTGAGGGCAAGGACCACCTTCCTCAAAGGTGGCTGTTCTCCTGGCCTCAGCCTGGCCAGGAGGACCCAACAGCTGTTCATCTGGCTATTTCTGGTCCGCACTAACCCCAGCCTGCTCTGGCTCTTTTCCAGGGCAGCCAGGGATTGCCGGGGTTCCCAGGTGCACGGGGGAAGCCAGGGCCTCTGGTAAGTACCTTCTATTCTGAGATCCCCAAACCTCACACTCTCCAAAAGGTCATCCAGGACCTCACTTCCTCCTGCAGCAGCCCTGGGTGATGAGCAGGTCAAAGCAGGAATGGAGATTCTCCCACTTCACAGATGAGGGCACTGAGGCCCAGAGGGTAGGAACTTACCCAGCATCATAGATAGGCCTCAGTCACTGGCAAGCATCTTGGGCTTCAGATACCTTGTAAATAATAGTAACATAATTAATAATAGCAATAGGTGTCATTTATTTATTGAATATCACTGTGTGTCAGATTCTTCTAATAACCCCAGGGGTAATAGAATTATTCTTGCTCCCATTTTACAGATGGGTAAACTGAGGTTTCACAAGATGAAATGACTTCTCCAGGATCCCATGGCTAGTAGGTGTAGGAGGCGGGGTTTGAACAGTAATAGCTCCTTCTAGTTATCAAGGCAGATTTCATTTGTATACTCCTGAGCTTTCCAACCGCCTGCAGGCAGGGGGTAACACAAGGGATCATGAAAAGGTGAGCCCTCACTTACCCCTGCCTGCCCCCCCCCACCCCCTAATCTCTTCTCTTCCACAGGGCAAGGTTGGAGATAAAGGATCCCTTGGGTTTCCTGGGCCCCCTGGGCCTGAGGTATGTGATGCCCTATTTCTCTATATCTGGTTGCAACTGGGACTGGGTATTGTCCTTGGGAAACCAAGACCCAGAGACAGGGAGATACTTGTCTGAGGTCACACAGCAAATGAGAGATGGGGCTGAGAATAGAAATTCCGAGGTAGGCCATCTTTTCTGCCTCTGCCCTCGGTCAGTGGCAAGCGGGACCGAAGCTGGCCTCAGAGACCCTCCCTAGCCTTGTGGCCGCCTTTACAGTGTCCAGGGAAAATACCAGGAGAGTCCTCTGAGCGCTGCTGCCTGTACCCTTAATAGGAGCTCTGCACATTCTCTCCCGTCTGCGCCCTGGGACCTTTCCAGCCACTCACAGCCACCCTGCGAAAGTTCAGGGCTCAGAGCTCCGGGGTCTGAGAAGTGAGAAGCCACTGTAAAATCCTGGCGTTGGAGTGGAGACTGAGAAACAATGAAGGATGGTTTAGCTATTAACATAATAATTCCAGTCCTGGAAGCAGAACCCTGCGAGTGTCCGATCCCTGTGGGAATTAGCATAGGTATGCTAGACATTCCTCAGGAGATCCAGTGAGGCGACTGGGGGAGCTCTGCTTGCCCCCCTCGCTCTACTTTGGGGACTCGCTCTGGAGAGCAGGGCGAGCAGTGCCAGAGCCGTTGTCTGTTCAGGATCAACAGCACCCAGTCCCACCCGCCCTCGACTCCCCGGCCCTGGGCCTGCTCCTCTGCCAGGTCTCACAGACAAAAGTCTGGCTCTGCCGGGTTCCCCAGACCCTTCCAAAGATCACTCCCGGGAACGCCCGGATGGATGAGGGAGTGTTTCCTGAGAGCTTCGCGTTCTGACTTTCCACTGTTTTGACTTTGGCCGTGACACCGTCCTATCTTTAGACAAATGGAGTTGGCCTCCCTTCGTGGCCCTGACTCCTTCCCCTGGTCACGGTGGAAAAAGCCTCTTCTGCGAGCCCCGGTTTTGCCAGCGGCCCGGCCGGTGCGGGCGGAAAGCGAGCTCCCTCACAGTTACTAGGCTCCACCTCGTGCCAGGTGCCTGTTGATGCGCCACCACGACGTGTGGGAGGCATGACGACCACGGGTTCCACGGGAGGACAGGGAGCCCCAGAGCAGGGAGGGGACCTCCTCGGTGTCCCTGCTTCTGCAGCGAGGAAGGTCCTGGAAGCCGCCGGGGCCTGCCTCTCCGGCTTTGGGTTCTGTTTGGATTGGCTGACTCGGAAGATGGCTCTGCTCAGCCGAAGACAGAAGCTGCTGAGCCTGTCAGCGCCTCCCGGGGCCTTTCCTCCTTTCCCGGGGACCATGGTGGGAGCTGCAGCTCCCAGCCCCGCGTCAGTGATCTCTCACTCGTCAGTGGGCCGACCCATGTGGGCACCGGAACCGGATCTGTGCCCCCCTTGCCAAGTTCTCCCTGGAGACGGCCCACCCCAAGCAGACTTGTTTTCCTAGGAATCCGGACCCCAGACCCTTTCGGATGCAGATTTTTATTGAGTGCTCACCAGGCAGCGGGCGCTGTTACTCCCCTTCGGGCTCAGAACAGCCCTGTAAGGCGGGTGTTGGTGCTCACCATTTTGCAGATGAGGAAGCGGAGGCCCAGAGCGGCTCAGGAACTTGCCTGGTCACACGGTGCTTGGAGGTGGTGGCAAAGTAGGATTTGGAGCCCCTCGTTTTGGAGAAAAAAACATGGGGCTTCGGCTACCTAGGTTAGCTCCAAATTCAGGACCGTTCTTGCCTTGGCCGGTGACAAGGGTGATAGGATGTTTGAGCTGCAATTTAACAGGAATTACCAAAACGTCAAAAGAAGGGGGAAAAGAAAAGCCGCCTTATGAAGGCAAGATGGGAGGAGGCATTTGGCTTCGGGGATTCATATAAAAAAAGACTTTCTTTGGTTTCTAGCTGGCGGGAACGTGAGGGAGGGGGGCTGCCCGGAAGTGAGTGGGGTCCTAAGCTGAATTCACAGGCATTACACCTAAAACAAAGGCCAGCGTGACGCTGTGGAGGAAGAAAGGAGGGATCCTGCTCCATGTCAGGGAGGAACTTCCACTGCCCACTCATCCATCTCAAGGACTGGTCTGGGAGAGTGAGCCCCCAATGGAGGGTGTGGGAGTCTGACCGCCTGGCCAGGATGTAGTGGGAGGAGCCGAGAGCAATTAGATCAGTGCCTTTCAAGCTGTTCAAAGTCACAGCAACCCCAGAACATACTCACACCTGCGGGATCCCTGCAGTCAGAGATGACACTTCTCAAAGCAGGAGGGGGCTGGCTCTCGGCCCCGGCTCATCCCAGCTCAGGACTGGAGAAATTCTAGGGGAGACGCCCTGGTGTGTGCTTGTTCCTGTGCTGCATACGTTCCTGCATTGTTTCATGGCCTTTTCTCAGCAACCCTCTGAGGCATAGGCCTGGTACGCCATCCCCGCTTTAGAATCAAAATCGGGGCAGTGAACTGCGCTGCCCCGGGTCACGCCGCGCAGGGTGGGATGGAAACCCAGGTTGGCACCCCGAGGACCTATGCTCTTAGCATCTCTTCACAGTCCCCATGGGTGACCCCTGCTCTCTGCCTCCCCCCTAGGGATTCCCCGGAGACATCGGCCCCCCTGGGGACAACGGCCCAGAAGGTGTGAAGGTGAGTCCCTGCCCTGGGCAGCTCCACTGAGGAAGCTGACAGTTCTGTGGCAACCACAGGCCTCCTGGCTGGCCGCCTGCAGGGGAGTCTTGCCAGCCTGTGATGGGGACGGAGGTGCCACCTCAGTGACCTCTCTTTGTTCTCTTCTCACAGGGGAAGCCCGGAGCTCGAGGCCTGCCGGGACCCCCTGGGCAGCTGGGGCCCGAGGTAAGACCATCTGGCCCTGGCCCTGTTCCTGCCCATCCTCCCCCAACCCCCAGCCCACTCCGTCCTGTGTCCTGCAGGCCTTGGGCGCACCCTCCAGCTCATTCCTGGCAGCCCTGCTCTGTGGCCTGTCCAGGTGCCTTCTCTGCCCTGGCCTGCCAGGTGGGCCACTCCCTGCCTCCGCGGCACCCGCCTACACCCGCCTGCCTGGGGTTTCTTCCTCGGAGCCACTGCCACTGCGCCTGCTCACGGTGGCACAGTTTCTTGGGCACTGATATGGGAGGGTAGGAATGGTCGGCTCCGTCTTACGAGTGAGGCCTCATGACTCACAGGAGTGAAGAGACTGTCCGGTCCTGTGGTTAGTGGCAGGCAGGGCTGGGATTCAAAGCCAGGTCTGCTGGCGCCCGAAGCCCATGGATACCATGACATAGACCCTATGCTGTTCACTTCCTGCTCCTGGGAGCCGCCTGGGGCGTCCTCAGAGAAGCATGTGACTAGCACGGCTAGTAAGTGACAGCGAGATCTGCTGTTTACTCACACGTGATGAAGGGGATTGACAAGGTCACTATAAGTCCATTGGAGCCCCAGCTGGACGCTGTGCACTCAGGCAGGCCCCACATTTTACCCCAGGACCCAGGACGCAGCCCTGGTAGGGGTGCAGGAGGCCAGACTCAGCGCACCCACAGACAGGCATCCAGCGAGGCCTGGGTCTGGCAGGGTCCCAGGCCACGCTGGCTTTGGGAGCCGCCACATGAGGCTGCTTTCCTGGAAGTTGGGGGGGGGGGGGGGGGGGGGGGGGGGGGGGGAGGGGGAGCTCCAAAGAGGGGCTCTTGGTCAGGCCTGGCAGGCCAGAGGGATGGGTTTGGAGGCTGCCTGTGCCTGCGGGAGGGCCTGGAGAGTCTCCATGGGCCACAAGTGGGAAGGGGGGGGTGTGTAGAGAAGAGAAAAATGGCGCCCGCCATGTGTTCCCATCTACACTCATGTTACCACTCAAAAAACCCTGGATATGCCTGCCACTTGCTCACTCTTCATCGATTCATTCTTCCACTCATACAGTTCCTCTCATGGCCTCCTCCCTCCTTCCGTTCACACCCATGAGACTCTGTGCACCCCCATCCAGAGCAATATTGGGGTGGCTTCACTACAGCATAAAAGATCATCGCTGTCCTCCAGGAACATAACTTAAGCCAGTCATTATACTTTGGGATGATGCACCATTTTACAGATGGGGAAACTGAGGCACAGTGAGGCCATGGTCTGCCAGCAAGTAAAGGGCAGAGTTCAGAATAGAACCCGTAGCTCTGAGCTGCAGTCGGGGCTCTGCTCCCACAGCACATGATGGGGTTTCACTTTCCTACCCTGCACGGCCCTGAACCCAGGCGACCACATCTGAGGACACCGAGGGCCCCATCCACGTGGAAATCCCTGTTGACCCGGCCTCTAGGCCATGATGGTGGTGCCCCTGCCTGGGGTGGGCCAGGCAGGGCGCCCGGGTGTGCCGTTCCTCTTGGTCCAGGACTCTCTTCTGTCCACCCCTTTGCCTTCTTATAGGACAGGTTTTCCAAGAGCCCCCCTGGGTTAACTTTCTCCTTTTTCCCTCTCTCTTGCCTCCTGACTCTAGGGAGATGAGGGACCCATGGGGCCACCTGGTGCCCCTGGCTTGGAGGTAAGTGTTGCTGGCGGGGGTTTTGTTGGCGTTAAGCCTGCTATGCACAGTTGGGCACCATTTGGGTAGCGATCCGAGAGAAGTCATGGGTGGGGACCTGGGCCAGCCAGAGGGGGGACTAGGACAGACCTTAAAGGAGAGAGACGAGAGGAGGGACACTGACCTCCGTCCTCGCCCACCTCCTGGGTGCTGGTGCTCTTCATCCATTTTCTCATTCGAGTCTCCCATGAGAGGCACCAACCACTTTGCTTAGTGTCACTGGAGGCTGGTGAGGCTCAGAGACTCAGGGGTTTAGCGTCTCACAGCCAGGAAACGGATGCCCTGCCTGGAACCTAACCCTGCATCCTCTGTCCTCCCCACTGCTCACAGCGGCCTTCCGGAAGGTGCTTGCCCCCGCCCCCCCATCCCTGCAACTGATCCATCAGCAGTTCATGAATGCTTTGGTCTAGGACCTCTTGACACTCTTACAATCTGTGGAGGACCCAAAATGCTCTTCTTTCTGTGGGTTACATCTAGCAATATTGGTCATCGAAACTGAGACATTTGAAACGTCTTAATCCATTTAAAACTCATAATGAACCCATTTCATGTTCACAGAAATACTAGTTTAACGAAAAGTAGCTCTATTTTTCCAAATCAAAATAATCTCATGGAAAGAGTGGCATCGTTTTACTATCTTTAGTATCTTTGCGTTCAATCTGCTGACCATCCCACATGTCACGTAGCCTCTGCAAACTTCCGCTGGCCCTCGTGGGAGCGTGAGCAACACAGGCAGATGACATCTTAGTCCTGTTGTCAAAACGGTTTGACCACACGGATCGAGAGAGGGTTGCAGGGACCCGCAGGCGCCTCCAAACCACACTGGCAGGACCACTGGCATACACTCCCCATCCCCCTGGGCCCTTTATCTCCCGTTCAGTCCCCTCCCTTTCCTCACTCCCTGAAGCAAGTGTCATCTCCTCATTATGAACTAGGTCAGCCAGGGAAGGGGACTTTCCCAAGGTCACACAGCTGCAGACCTTCCCCGCGTCCCCCGAACAGCCTGCTGACATGGGGCTCTGCATCCCTGCCCCCACCCCAGGCACCTTGGCCCTCCCTTGTGCCAGGTCCTGGGACCAGCCGTGCTGCCCACCAGGCTCCTCTCATTCATCTCTCTCTGTTGCAGGGTCAACCTGGCAGGAAAGGGTTTCCTGGGAGGCCCGGCCCTGATGGCTTGAAGGTGAGGGGACTTGGAAGTGACTAGGCTGAGGAACGGGAGGGGGAAACGCCTGGGGAGGAGAGGAGAGAGAGGAAGTCAACATGTGAAGACCCAGGGCGAACCCTGAACTCCATGGCCAGTTGTGACGTGGGGATGGGGGTGGGGAATAGTCCCCATTTATCACCAGGTGTTGGTAATCCAAGGAAAAGGGACATAATCTGAATGTCCTGCAGTGGGATACTCGAGTAACGGACACAGCGCAGCCACCACAGATGGAGTGGTGGGATTTTATACAGGAAGTGCCTGTGGGTGTGGTGGTGGGAGGCAGATATGAATCAGCGCCTTATGGTCTGAGCCCGTGGCAGGGACCAGGTGCACCGCGCTCCTGGGTACTCAGAGCAGAGGCTGGGATGTGGGCAGGTTATCTCCAGGTGCTGGGATTCTAGGTTTCCTCCTCCTCCTCTGGGCCTCTGTATGTCCCCATATGTGCAATACATTTGTTTATGATTTTCTTTTAAGTTATGAAGAAAGAACTAGCCTGGGTAGGACAGTGATGACCCTCGCTCAGCAGAGGGGTAGCCTCACTCCACGGCTTTCCGGGGACTCCCCTTGGGGCTGGATTGTCCCAGCCGTCAGGGACAGGGATTGTGGGGCCAAGTTTACAGCTGGGCACATTTACAGAGGATTAGCACAGAGCGAGGGCTGGGAGGAGGGGCGGGGGGGGG